AAGAGGAGGCTTAGGAGGCAAGGAATGCCACAAAGCACCCTCCTGAGCCACCTGCATCCATCGACTTCCTGCATGTCTTACCAGGTTGTCTTTCCATCTATTGGGGGACGCCCTACACTTCGTCTGCCGGTACGAGGCTGCCACTCAAGAACTTTTTTCCCCATCGGTAATCGGTTCTTCGAGCTATGTGGCCGGCCCATTGCCAATTCAGTTTACTAATCCGTTGAGCTATGTCAGTTAGTCTGTTTCTACTGCAGATATCTTCATTCCTTAGTTTATCACGCAGAAAAACTTCAAGTAATAGCCCCCTCCATAGCTCGCTGAGCGACTTTGAGCTTCCTCATGCGGCAGCCGTGAAGGACCATGTCTCAGATCCATAGGTCATCACTGGCAACACGCACTGGTACAATGTAGTTTTGAGATTTGGAGGTATGCCTGACGAGAAGATGTGTCATGTTGTGTGATGTTGACCTTAATATCACATTCTTTCCAGACCATTAGCTTGAAAACCTCTTCCAATGTAGTGGTGAAGAGTTTCGGGGATATTACGTCACCCTGTCTTACACCTCTCTGCAGTTGGATAGATTTCGTACTCTGATTCTGTATTCAAACAGACATCGTAGTACTACCGTATAAACACATTAGCACTTCAATATACCGAGAGTTCACTTGGTCACAGTCCTCTGCTGAAGGCACTGCAGCACCGTCCAAATTTCGACGGAATCAAAGGCTTTATTATAGTCTACATACGCAAGATAAAGTAGCAGATTGTAATCTTCGGACTTTTGTACAATTTTTCAAAGGGTAGGTATGTGGTCTATGATGCTAAAGCCTTTACGGAAACCAGCTTGTTCAGGAGGCTGGAAGTGGTCGAATCTGCATGCGAGACAATTATAATGATTCTCGAAAACAGAACGTAGACGCCTCCGGAGTAGTGCCATAATAGAGGACGACATTGAAGAGATTCTGAAGGACTTTACGTATCGGTCGATTTTCCACCCGCTTTTAGAAGCTTCGCTGTAATTCCATCCTCACCTGGGAACTTGCCGTTTTTAAGATGCTGAAGAGCCATTCCAATCTCGCTCAGACAGATGTCCGAGATATCATTGGAATAATGTCGGATTTGACTTGCTCTTTCATCGTTACTCTCACTTGCATGCTGCTCCACCGATGAAGTGTTCAGCTGCCCATAGAACCTCTCAATCCACTCAGAATCTGAGATGACCCGGAAACGATGTTGCCACATTCGGTATTCAGCAGCTTCGAAAGTTGGCTTTTTCTGGCAGACATATCTCTGGCAAAGATTTCGGAACCTTGGTTTCGCTCGATCGCTTCGTCAATACGAGCAGTATTAAAGTTGAGTAAGTCCCGCCGCATGCATTTCGAAATCTGTCTGTTCAGTTGCCTGTATGCTGTCAAATCTGTTGAAGACTTCAGCTTCATTTCCCATCTAACAGCCAAGAAGTTAAGAGTGTGATTGGAGATTTTTTGTGCTCGTCTACGACGGGTCTTGTGGAACTTAGCTCCGACCGATGGACAATTTCCACGCGCATGAGCAACAACACAAATAAATGGCCCCTAGTTCCCGGCGGCCCAGCTATTCCTGACTACAGTGGCAACCATGGTGACAGGGAGGCAGGGGGCGCTAAGAATCGGTTGGAGGTTCTGCTGCTACCTAAGACTACTCAAACGGGTAAAATACAACGCACGCACTCTGAGGACTGACGAGAAGATCCTGGAGTTGGAAGAAGAGATAGAAAAGTTGCACTGGGATATTAAACGATTATCTGAAGTCTGAAGAAAGGGGGAGGTCACGGTAATCCTCGAATTCGTCAACTTTTTTAATCTCCAGGAAGGCGACCATATGTCTCTAAGAGTTATCGGATTTATCGTAGACAAGTCTCTCGTTAACATATAATCTATATTGAATAAAAAATGATTCTATTCTATTTGTTTGTTGAATTCATTTTGGCGTTGGCAATAAGCCTATCAACCAAAAAAAAAAAAACACATAAGACGCCGTAAAAGATAAATAATTTTTTGATTGTTGATTTAACTGTTGGTGTGACACATTGCGATATATGCATTATAATTTGACAGCTGCTTAAACCAGCAGACAGTCCACGACGATTTTATCTCAATCTTACAAGGTACAGACTCATTATGCCTAATCAGACAGAATAACTTGAGGCTTAAATACGATTCTAGCGCTTTTTATCGTCGCCGTGCAAAAATTTTTATGTATCGCAACACATTAAAATCTAAACAATTATACAGGAGCAATAATCCGCCGGCGGTAAAATACTCGCCAAAAACTTCATATTTTTACTACCATTTTATTATTCCGTGTTGAGGAAATGGAAAACATTTCCTATTTCCGTACATTCATCACGCGAATAAATATTGCTTTTGCAATAAGCCGCAGGACGTAGATATCCGAATCCAAATAAACGTTGGCCAAATATTCAACAGGCAGATTCGTTTTGTCTTTTATCCTCTAGATTTATTCAACGTTAAATATGAAATTTAATGATATTAAAAAACAGAAAATAAGAAAACTTCTCTTTTTTATTTTATGGAACACTGTCCTGTAATTATCATTTAAGAGTGGAATGCGGCGGGTTAGCAAACTGAGTTTTTATTCTTATTTTGCGTAGCTCACGACATGGAGGAGTGGATTCTGTATATCACTATATAGTGATGCATTCTGTATACCACTATATGGAAACCCTTTAAAATTAATCAATATAAACAAAATGATATTACTATGATACCCCATTATATAAAATGTTAATTTCCCCGCTATTGAACAATCAGGGCGACATCTACGACAGTGACTTCGTATTTTACTCGACGACATTTTTGATTAATGGAACACTTCTCAACGGCGACAGCAGCACTAAAATTCAAGTATATTTAATACTTATTTCAATAAGTCCGTTCATTGTTACATATTCTACAGTCTGCTTTAATCCCATTTCAGACAAATATAAACTAGTTTTCTACGCTTATTTGGTAAAATAATTTAACGACTGCAGTATAATACTTAGCAATATAGTATAAAATATTCACGCAATGCGTTATAACATGTAGATTAAGATGCATTTCAATAAAGTATTTATAAAAGATACAGCCTATATACGTCCCGCTGCTGGGTACATTTGTTATTTCTGAGAGGGTTCTGGGACAAGACAGCCGCATGTTAGCAAAAAATCACGTATCATCAAAACTATTTGTCCTTAATTTCACATCCAGAATATGTTCTTCACTCTCAAGTTCGTAGTTCATCAGTATTTAAAATTCAACTTAATAAATTTATTTGGTGCCGGTGGGAATGAAATCCGGTTTGCTCGTGTCCTGTGAAATTTACAACTAGCGTTTAGGCCTCCTAATAAATATAATCGTAAACCTTAATAAACTTATAAAACAGAAGTCCTAATTATATATAATTATATTTTAATTAATAGAGTTTTAAAGAACTTCACAAGTTATAATTCTCTAAGGTGTATGAAAATTTCGTTTTAATAAAGATAAACTAATACCCCGTCAGTGCTTTAGTGAACAGTAGCGGAAAAACGCTTTTAGTAGTGTTACGCTTTTGTAATTTTTTCCATTTTGATTTATCTTTATTGTTGACGTTAGAAGGTAGTTCGTATGAGCATTTGTGACACTTTTTCATGTCCCTACTAATTATTAAAACACGCAATTTGGAACGAGTGTCGTAATAATTACGTGATAATTTCATGCATAAGTAAAAATTGATAAGGTGAAAAATTATGTAATTGGAAAAAGTGTGATTTGCAAAATATAGTGACTAGGATTAATGGAGCGGGAGAGGTGTATCAGGATCTTACCAAATGGAAGTCAGGAGTTTCTACTCAGACTTCTGGGTTACAGGCGCTGAATTAATTTTATGTTATTTAACAAAATGGGTGTTATTTTGCTCGGTACATTATTTTTTTCTTTAGAAAATGGTGAAAAATGACTATCGATTCCAATAAGGTTATTGTGAACCATAAACAACATCTATCTACGATTAAGAATCGACATGGAATATCTTGTAACAGTGAAATGGAAGAAATTTGCGTCATAATAGTGTTGCATGTTATTATTAATAATGTTTACGTAGACCCAAGCTGCCGCCATATTATGTTTGTGGCACGAATGGGTCGGCTCGACCGGAGAAGAACCATGTTCTCACAGTATATGAGCGTAAAATAGCAGCTTAATGTTGCTGTATTCCGTATGGTGAGTAAAGAGAACCAGAGACCCTTCTTATTGGATACGAGGCATTCTATCTTAGTCATCAAGGGTGACAACGCATCTGCATTTTGATTTCTAATCAAGGATAGTAGTAGATATCTACCGGCTAGAGTATCCACTTACCTTCAAGCGGACTCGTTTGTTACCCTTATCTTATAAAAAAACATTAAAATTGTGTTAAAATGTGGTTCTTCCCTTGTCAAGTCAACTCATTCGTGTTCAGAGCTCGCCTCGTTGCTCCAAATTTACGTTAGACTTCTTTTGTATTACAAAATATGTATTTTATAATGATTTCTTATATTTACGCGAACACTATACATGATTAAAACTACTTTTTACGTTTATTTTTATTTACTTTTTATTTACTTTTATGTTTAATTCCCAACGTTTCGGGCGCTTTCCAGCACCCATGGTCACGGGGTCACATTCCGTCCGCAACAAGCGTTGAGAGTGGTACCCTGTATTAACGACTTCCTTAATTATCTAATTGTATGTACACAAAAATCGATCATAGTGCGATATTTATTAGTTTCTTGATTACTAAACTAAGATTGTAGTTCATTCTAGTGGGTTGAGTGAAAAACAATAAATCAGCAATTGCCGTCTCGTTCTCATATAGCATCGTCGGACTGTGGCAGTGCAGGGACCTCGCTTCCTCAACGGTAGGCTTAAGGACAGCGCTATATTATTTTAACTCTCTCACACCTGTGTAGCTACAGATATACCTGCACACTACGATGTCTTTACAACGCACACCACCGAATGTGTTTTCATCGGACGGTGATATTCCTGCATCGGTAAAGAAGATTAGCGGCGAAAGTTTTATAACTACCCGTAAACGTAAACAAATCGAAAACGATAAAAATGATACAAATGTGATTAAATTTGAAGAAAAATTTGATAATCAAATGCAAATATGGAATAAAACCATTAGCGATTGCATCGCAAATAGCATTGCCACCGCGGTAAATACAGCCCTAAAGGGCGAGCTATCGAAGATTACCTCTGCGTTATCAGAACTTAATGATAATGTATTGAAACTTAACATGGATACTATCAACCTTAATAAATCATTGCACGAAGTTAACACCCGACTGTGCGAAATAGAGAAATCACTTAGCTTCTCAAATGAACGACAGGACTTATTTGACAGTCGACTGAAAACTGTTGAACAGAATATATCACAATATAATGGCTCTATAACTCAAATACAACTACTTGAGAACAAAATACATACCATGGAACAGCAAGCAAGACAGTGCAATGTCGAAATAGCTAATATCCCCGACAGGCGAGGTGAGAATCTAATCAGCATAATGGAGTGTTTGGGCGATGCTATTAAGCATCCTTTACAATCATCCGATATAATAGCCGTTCATCGTGTACCTCATGCTGACAAAAATGATCGACGTCCGAAGAATGTTATAGTAAAGTTCGCAAACAGGACACTGCGCGACAATGTAATTGCCGCCTGCCGTGCTACAAAAGGGTTGAATTCAACATCATTGTCCGTACCTGGCCAGCCTGCCACCATTTACGTTAACGAGCATTTAACGTTGAATAACAATTTGTTGTTTCGTCAGTGCCAATTGGCTAGCTGGCTGCTAAGAAAAACGAATATAAATATGTATGGGTTAAACATGGCACCGTTCTAGTTCGCAAGACGGATACTTCACCCGCTATCGCAATCAGATCCCTACAGGACATCGCACGAATCAAATGAACAATAGCCGGATGTTAACAAGCAGCGTTGCAACGTCATAAACAGGTTTAAAAATAAATTATTAACGCCTACATATGTAAACCTAATCAACTTTTATCATGATATTATGTGTCACAAGAAAATATATATTCCCAAATGGTTAAGTCAACGTCCCACATATTATATTATTATAAGTAATCACACTTTTATAAGTAAATATTGTTATAACAATAGACTAGATACATGTGGTGTAATTTTTTTGTACCTTCGTGTCTCAGACTTAAAGTGCACTCTTTTATAATTTAATTAATATGCTATTAGTATTATATGAAAGACTCTTTGGTTAAATTGTTAATACATATCTGATCTGCTTAATTACTCTTCCAAAATTCTAATTACTGTTATTATTTCCAATCATAATACTCACGGCATAACATTAATATCTATTCAGGTACGCATAATTGTTTTTTATCTGTTTTTATTATCGATATTTAAATTAATTAATAAACAAAGTCCATGTTCCTACAATTCAACGTGTGCATTTATACTGAATATCCTACTCTGTACCCACTGTGGCTCTAATGATTTGTATGCAATACCATATATTTTTCGATACAAAATTCAATAACATAAATAAAAATGTATTGGCAGTCTACTATCAAAATTGCCGCGGTTTGAGAACTAAATTAAATACTATTTACATGAACATATTATCGCATAATTATGATATTATAATATTAACCGAGACTTGGTTACATGATTGCATTGTAAACAATGAATTTGTGGATTCTCGCTACAACGTGTTCCGTTGCGACCGAGATCGCACTGTAACAAAGCGTCACGATGGTGGCGGTGTGTTGGTGGCTGTGCTGCGCTCGCTTTGTGCAGTGCGCTGCGTGCCCGCACTCCCCGCTGCCCCCCTCGATATCCCACCCATTATATATCATATTCTATTAGAATTTCGCATCGGTAAATCTCATTATTTATTAAGCGCGAATTACATACCACCCGGTCTAGATTCTGATATATATTTTACTTATTTTAATAAACTACAAGTGATTATACAGTTAAATGGATATGATAACTATTATTTAATTGGCGTTTCAATTTGCCTTGTCTTGACTGGTATCTAGATGGAACTCAAGCAAAACTTCTAGGTTTAAGCAATATTACGACCATATTCTCACTTAGTAAATTTCATGTCCGTCATGGACTGTATACAAGTTAATATTTTTAAAAATAATATGAATAGGTTACTCGATTTATGCCTAACTAACGTACACAACAGTAAAACCTTTTCTGCGCCTATCACTCTAGTCCCACCTGACGTACATCATCCTCCTTATTACCTCTTAATACCAATTGATAATAATTTATCCAAACCCATGCCAACGAATCCACGTTTAAGATATTGTTACAAGAATGCTAATTATAAACAAATCAATAACGATATATTAGAAATTAATTGGTGTGAACTATTTCAAAATAAAACTGCCGAAGAAAGTGTTAACGTTTTCTATGAAAATATATTTGATCTTATACGTAAACACGTTCCCTCTAAACGGGATTCCAACTCAAAATTTCCAGTATGGTTTACCCCTGCGTTGATACACATATTTAAGAATAAAAACAAAGCTTGGATTAAGTGGAAAGTATATAAAAACAAATCTGATTATTCTACATTTTCAATGTATCGGGATAGGTTTAGGAAAGAATCATTGATTTGTTATAACAAATTATATGAAATCAGTAGATGACAATATTCCTAAAAATATTAAATACTTTTGTATTTACATAAAAAAACGTCAAAATCAATCAGATATTCCAAATAGTGTTCACTATGACGGAACAGAGGCGGATAGTCCTGAGGGCATTTGTAACCTGTTTTCTTCCTTCTTTCATTCAGTTTTCCAGCCTACTAATGTATCTGACTCCTTCTGTATTGACCATATAGATGATATAGACAATGGTATGCTCAATGACACCATTATTAGTGACATACAGCTATCAAAAGCAGATGTCTTAAAGGAACTAAAGGCACTAGATATTATCTAAAGGCGCAGGCCTTGATAACATTCCCCCTATTTTCATTAAAAATACTGCCGTAACCATATGTAAACCGTTGGTTATATTATATAATAAATGTCTTACAGAGGGTATATTTCCAGCTATGTGGAAATCAGCCAGGATAACACCAATACATAAAGGAGGCATAAAAAGAGATGTAGTCAATTATCGTCCAATTTCAATCCTTCCCACTTTATCTAAACTTATGGAGAGGCTGGTGCACAATAATATCTATCCACTATTGCATAGGACCATCCTTCCACAACAACATGGGTTTGTTCGTAAACGATCTACTATCACTAATCTTATTGTTTATACTTCTGAATTGTTTGACAATATAGACGCTAATACACAGACCGATAGTGTCTATACAGATTTTCGGAAAGCGTTTGACCGAGTGGATCATAGAATACTGCTAGAAAAACTTGCTTTCAACGGGATTCGCGGAAATCTTTGGAGGTGGTTTAAGTCGTATACAACATACAGAACACAAAAAGTGGTCATCAATGGATATGAACCAAGTACGGTTATTATAACGTCTGGTGTGCCACAAGGATCTATCCTTGGCCCCCTATTATTCATTCTGTTTATTAACGATATAAATAATTGCTTTCAGCATTGTAATTTCTTATTATATGCAGATGACCTAAAAATTTATCGAACTATACATAATTCTAATGATCACCTCGAGTTCCAGGAGGACCTGAATAGATTTAACAATTACTGTAGCATTAATAAACTACAGCTAAGTCTCGATAAATGTAAAGTTATTACATTTACTAAAAAACGAGCGTGGAGTACACATAATTATTCCATAGGCGGCCACAATCTTACCAGAGTACAAACTATTCGCGATCTTGGAGTCACATTGGATACTAAGTTAACACTTGATGCACATGATGATAACATATGTAGTAGGGCTTATAAAATGTATGGTTTTATACTCCGAGCCAGTAATGACTTCGTACGTCTTAATACATATTTACATATTTATAAGACCTTAATCCGTTCACAATTAGAATATGCTGTTTGTATTTGGGATCCTTTGTATATAAAATACTCAGATAGCTTAGAAAGAGTGCAAAAGAAATTTCTACGTTGTTTGCACTATAAATGCTGTCATAACTATCAGTCATACCACCAACTATTGCAGAGATATAAACTTTTGGACTTGAAGTCTAGGAGAATACAAATGCAAGCCATGCTTTTGTATGACATTTGCCATAATAGGTACGACTGCTCTGATATTGTCAATAATATTAACTATAGAGTGCTACTAGATCGTACATGCGAGCTTGTCGTTCGAAACACCTATTTGCCACACGAACATCACGCACTAACGCAGGTATGCGTGCACCTATTCGTCGTATACTAAATTCTTATAACCGCAACTTCAGTCATATTGATATTTTTGTAAATAGGGTAAGCGTTTACAGAAACTTAGTAATTAAGGAACTGCATGACACTGTATACTACACACAACAGGGAAAAATATACAGATGAATAAAACTCTCAACCTGTAAATACAATTCGTTCATAATGCTCGTGGTAAACGGTGTGGATGTCACAATTGTCAATAATGTATAGGTTAACACTATTATAACCATTTGTTATTGTGATGTTGTTTGTTTACCCAATAAATTGAAAAAAAAAAAGCGCCCGAAACGTCGGGAATTAAAAATAAAAGTAAATAAAAAGTAAAAATAAACGTGATAAAATCCGTAAAAGTAGTTTTAATCATATGTATTTTATTTCCCATATTATTGGAAATATCAAAAAACTATAAGATTTTTTTTATTTTCCGTATTCTTCTCTTACGATACCCACTCACTATACGCTTTACCATACGGCGATCATCAATTCCAAAAGTGCGATTTTCCACAATCGAGTTGATATTGCGTTCTTAATTCATTAACTAAATTCTGTTGAAGAATGAATGATTCATTCTCTCCCTTGCTATACTGGGATTAAATGTTTGTACAATTTTTTTTAAAAAACTGCAGAATCGGACATAAAATATATAGACACGACACCTACTTTTTTAATTAATAGTCGCTAGAACTTCTGTTGCTTTAAGTGACCAGCTGCTGCTTAAAATTAACTAAAAGGATAATTATGCGATTTGGTTATTAAAATAAATAGTGGACTGTATTAAAAGGCGCAGTGCAAACGGCGAGAAGGATTTAATTTCAGATTATCTGAATAAATTAGAAACAGATAATTCAAAAGTTTAAAAAAATCTTTATATTTATTGCTTACTTCTGATTTCTAGAGGCAAATTTTTATATATTATTATTTTAATTGGCAAACATATTTAACCGTATACATTTGTTATTGTGTTGTTGTTAATTTTTCATGTATTTTGCTATTGGTATACCTTATAAATAAATAAATAAATATATCTAAAGACTACTAGAACTATTAGTACTACTAATACTAGAGTTAAAATAAATTACTTAATCACTTTTATTTTAACTAATTGAGTTGTCGTTGTTGTCGCCTGCGATCTGTTTTTTTTTGCGCCCGAAGCAATTAAAGGGCTACCCTAAACGTAGGGAGGCGGAAAATGCATTACGCATACCACGATAGCCGGTCTATCGTGGTTATGAGGGACTCACGTCCTACCGGGGGACCCTAAGTGATACCCTCTAAAAACCGCCTTTAGGGACAGGCAACCGGCTGATTAAGCTTTATTGTGCCTTATCGTGAGCGACCCTCTTTTGAGAAAAGAGGGCGCAGGCGGCTACGAGCCGCTGAGGGAGTGCCTACGAAGGCAAATTAATTATTATTTTGTGGGGTATCTATATAGTTTTCTCATCTGGTTGGGATGTATAAATATATAATTATAAACGAAAATGAAAAGATAAATATACATAAATATCAATAAAATAAAATAAATAAAAAAATACATAAATAAATATAAGCCCAATCAGATGGAAGCCCTCGGCAGGGGGAGACCAAACGGTCGAGGGTTAGGGGGAAAGGGAAAGAAACTGGCGGACGATGCGGGCGGTATCGAGGAGCACCGCCTTCTGCATTTGAGCCTGGAGCGGTCCGCCACGTAGTCCCAGCCGCCTCAGATGACCCGAGAGGCTGACTGGCATTAGCCCGTTTGCAGAGACGACTACAGGAATAATTTCGGTCGGCAGACCACCCCACATGTCGGTCACCTCGTGAGCCAGGTCCAGATATTTTGTTTGCTTATCTGTTTCGGCTTTCACGAGGTTCTCGTCACACGGAATGGTAATGTCGACCAAAAATATCCTTGACTGTGCCCGGTCCATCAGCACAATATCAGGCTTATTCGCAAGAATAGTCCTGTCTGTGATGATGGCCCGGTCCCAATAGAGCCTGGCACGATCATTTTCGAGCACGGCTTCCGGCAAGTACTTGTAATACGGCAACTTCCGATCCACGAAACCGTATTTCAGAGCGAGCTCCTGGTGTAGAATTCTGGCTACTAGGTTGTGCCTGTGCAAGTACTCAGAGTTAGAAAGCGCCGAACAACCGGAGATGACATGCCTAAGTGACTCACCGGGATGGCGACAAGCACGATAGATGTCGATGCTGCCATCCTTTAGGATGTATCTCCGATAGTTGTTGGTCTTAATAACCTGATCCTGTATTGCACAGACAAAACCCTCGGTTTCCCCGAAGAGGTCACCAAAGCGTAGCCAGTGGAGGGAGGTTACTGTGTCTACGAAAGGCCCATGTAGAGACTTGTAGAACCTCCCGTGGAGCTCCTTCTCCTTCCATACGGTCTCCCGGTCGGAAATTGTCTGCACTGCCGGGTCTTGCCATTGCTCGTTGGCTAAGGATAGAGGGGTAAGTCCTTTATCACAAGAAATGACGTCCTTATAGAATGGATCATCCGATCTCGCCAGGAAGTAATTACGGAGGCTGCACACTTCGCGATTATGCATGGTGAGCGCGCTCAAGAAGCCACGCCCACCATGCTTTCGCGGCAAGTACAGCCTCATTACCGACGATCTCGGATGATGCATCCTGTGGTACGTCATGGTAGTGCGGACTTCTCTATCCAGGGCGTTAAGTTCAGTCTGAGTCCACCTGAGTATGCCAAAGGTATACATGAGGACAGGCATGACCCAGCCGTTATATGCTTGTGTCTTATTCACACCGGACAAAAGGCTGTTAAGCACTTTGGTCAAGCGTGCATAAAACACGTCGCAAACTGACTGTTTCATACCAGCCTCATCGATACCGATGTTCAGTGACATACCCAGGTATCGGTATGTTTCAGCCTCGGAAAGGGTCCTTAAGTTGACGGGCATAGATAAGTCTATGCCCTCAGAGTTAGCAACCCTACCCCTCTCAACATGGAGTACCGCACACTTATCCGTCCCCAGCTCCATTCCAATGGAATTGCTAAATTCACAAGTGATGTTTAGCAATTCCATAAGATGGGAGGCGAATAACTTGAGGTCATCCATATAGAAAAGGTGGGTCACTTTTGTCCCTCCTTTCCGTAGCTGAAATCCCCTCCCGGAGCCCTCCAGTAAGGTACTGAGAGGGTTCAGAGAGAGGCAGAACCATATTGGACTCAGACAATCGCCCTGGAAGATACCCCTTCTTATCCTTATGTGGTTCTCCGCAGCCATCATTCGCTCGCCCAGATGACAAAGGATCGTGCTCCACTGCCCCATACACTGCTCGAGGAAGTCTCTAACTGTACAGTCTATCTTGTACAGTTCGAGGACTCTCTTTAGCCATGTATGGGGCACCGAGTCGAATGCCTTTCTGTAGTCTATCCAGGCGGCGGAGAAGTTCCGACGGTTGCGTTTCACCACTTTGCCAATGACCGCGTCAATGAGGAGTGGTTCCTTGGTTCCACGACCGCCGCCCCGACATCCATTTTGAGCGCGCGACATCACCTGATTTGAGTCCAGGTAACGAGTGATTCTCGCGCTCAAAATGGTTGTTAGTGTCTTGTATATGGTCGGTAGACATGTGATGGGGTGGTATTTGCT